ATGTAATGGCAGTTCCACAAGGGAGTATTGTGTGGGCTATAGTTATGTTTGTAGATCAATCTCTAGTATAATAAAACTTGCTGGTGAAAGAAAGAAAGCAGGCAGTGTTTCTTACAGACAGTTTTTTAATGCCCAAGTCACATTTAAGAAGGAAGTTAACTCCACCCAGATTTGAAAATATTTTGCTTGATATATGAAACCATAGAGCATTTTAATTTGTTAAAAATGACCGAAGCCAATTTATTTTTAAGGTGCCATTCAGGCTGTCAAAATCAATAGCTTGCAGTCCTCCATCTTCAGACTGATTAAATTACCTTGTCTGATTTAGTGTGTTTTTTGCTTCCATATAAAATCAAAATTCATCTGATTAGATGACAAGTCTTGTCATTTTCTCTTGCAATGCAATTGTTTGCACTGTTTGTGTGTTTTTAATTGGCATACATTTGATAAATATATTAGGTGGACACTGTTGATTGACAGAAAGCTTACTATTCATATTAAACATCTCCAGTGACTTTGCAGTGGCTGGTTCCCCTCTTTCTGAAATAATTAATCAATTCAAATAATATATGCTCAGATCTTGGACTATTTTAAAAATCTGCTGAAAACTCACCTTTTTAGTTTTTGACAGTAGGAGAACCTGACATGCAATTTCTGTGTTTTATGCTAAAACTTTTCTCATCTTTATTTCTTCTCTTTTTACATTGTTTTATTGTCTTTTTTAATTCTGTCTGGTTTGTTTGACTGAAATTAATTTTTTTTGTATTTTTTTTTGTGCTTTAAATATTGTACAGCTCTTTGGTCCAACTTGTTGTTTTCCTTCCAGTTGTGCACTTCTGCAGGGGTCTCCACAGCGAGCAAACTCACATGAAAGATTTGGTAACTGTTTTACTCCTAATGCTCTTCCAAACACAGCCTGGGCTCGAACCTGCAGCTTCAAGACTACAAAGCCACAGCACCGAGCTACCGCAGCACCACAGTATCCAACTATTAATAAATTACTTTAGAATTTGTAAATTAATTAGACACAAATTACCACAGACAAATCTGAAGACTTTTAAAGTAATTGAATGATAAAATGCACGGACATCAGTTCAGTGTTTTAGATTTGCTTTTTTCTTGCAGAAACATTCTGTGTGATTAAATTAAATCTCAATCATCATTTTTCAGAGCTGTTGTAATTCTTCATTTCACATTAAACTATCTGTTAAAGTGAAACAGTAAGTTTTCATGGGAGTGAATCTGGAGTTTTACCCAACCTTATCAAACCCAACAATAATGTGTTTTAAAAAAAAATATTAGGAAGGATGATAACAAAATGGTCTTAGAATATTGTGTTAATTGTAAAAGTTTGCAGGCATCAGTGGAATGAGTTTTGTTCCACTTTGGAGTAAGCTGTTGGGGGAAGAATCAGTTTTGGTGTGTGTTTCCTTGACTGATGAAGCCTTCCGGACCGAAGGCGAAACTTTTCAGCACAAAAAAAAAAAAGAAACTGTCGAGATGACCTGAATGAAAAATGTTGGATTCTGGATTATTGAGCATGGACTTTGTTGTTTATCATTGAGGCTTTAGAGGCCAAAGAAGAGCATCCGACAAACCCAACAGCACACCAAGATCAGACCTCATTTCAGCAGGTGGTAGATTACACAGAAAAGGCATGCTTAACCAGAAGTGTTTAATGCTTATTGTTCAGTGCTTATTCCAGAAGTGAACACCCTTATAAATTAATATTTTGTATGCTGTTGAGTGCCAGGAGGGCTCTGATCAGTTCTACATCAGGGAAACTAAACAGCCACTGGACAAAAGGATGGCCCAGCACAGAAGAGCAACATCAAGCCATGGCCCCATGGTTTACTCTCATCTCCAGGCCAGCGGTCACTCTTTCAGGGATGAAGATGTGCACATCCTTGATAGAGAGGAACATTGGCTTGACTTTGATAGAGGAGTGAAGGAAGCCATCTTTGTGAAGAGAACACGTCCAGCATTAAACAGGGGCGGACGCCACTGTGTTCAACTGTCCCCCTCTTACAATGCTGTTATTGAAAGTATTGCTCAGCCCTCTGTGAATAGCAAGCAGCCGTCAGGGCACTGATGGTCCTCCTTTTGCATGTGTGACAAGTTGTGGCTGTCACCAGCAAACAGGTTGATCCACTATGAGAAGGTGCTGCTTGTTAGACTGAGCTTGTTGCAGCTTTTCAGCCTGAAGACTTTTGGATAAAAGACAAAATGTTTCAACAAAGAAGAATCCGTACAGAGGACCTGACTCAACCTTTGTTGAATTTAGTAATAATATTTATATTTAGACAGCATGGTGGATCAGGTGGTAGAGCTGCTACCTCTACTGTATGTGAACAGTTGCCACAGTTCAAATCCCGGTCCAAGGTGGATTTATGGGTGGAGTTTGCATGTTCTGTCCGTGCATGTATGGGTTTTCTCCAAGTATTTTGCTTTCCTCCCACAGACCAAAAACATGCATGTTAGGCTGATTGGTAAATAGTCTTTAGGTGAGAGTGAATGGCTTTTCGTCTCGTTTGTCTCTATGTGGCCCTGTGACGGACTTGCGTCCTGTCCAGGGTGTACTCCACCTCTTGCACACTGATAGCTGGACATGCATGGGCACATGTGTCCCCTGCAACCCATGGAAGAAGTGGTTAAATGTATTGGATGGATGAATGGATGGATGGATTAATAATATTCACAAGGACCGAACTTGGGAGGAAATGAACAACAAAGTCCATGCTCAGTAATCCTTGGGAGGAAATGGTTACTGTAAGTATTCTGGTTGAAGGTGTTAAGGCTTGGAAAGGAGGGTAAGATTCAATGTTCCAGGAAGGTGAGTATGGTAGGTGAGATTCATAAGTTAGTGTAGGAGTGTGGCAGGTTGAACCAGGATGAAACGGTAAGTAAGAGACCTTTCCAATTGTATGTCCGTATGAAGAGGACTGGTTTTAGGGTGACGGTTCAAGGTAAACACAGGTTGGAGGACGGAGGTAAGTTTCAAATTTGAAGAGCACAGAAAACAGATTATCATCTGAGAGGAGCACAAGGAAAACAGGATTATTTCACAATATCTTAAATTGCACTAGGAACTCTGGCTGATCAGAATCAGAATAAGCTTTATTATCATTGTACTGGAATACAGTGAAATTGTGTTAGTACAGTAGTCCGAAAGATGGGTGGAGTGCACGTTGCTGCTGGCCAGCTGCTGAAAAGCACGGCCCCTCTTCTTTATCAGAATACTTTTAGATAGAAACAGGGAAGAACCATGAGGATAGAAAGCTACAAAAAAGATCTCTTCACATCTTGTACACCAGGACAAGATTTGAGACATAAAAAAACTCTACCAGCAAGCAAATTTATAAACACATTACATATGCATTTGACATCAAGGTGTTGAGATTTGTCCACGAGCATTTTTCAGATAGGTCACAGTTCTGATGATGTTTCAGCTGGCGGTTTGCAATAGACAAAGTTTTGTCCCTGTCCCAGAAGAAATTTGATAGTCGGCTCGTATCCAAGGCCAAACGGTGGAGTCAGGTTCAGATAAGCCACAATTGTTGATTTTCTTCAGGCATACAGTTTTTCCTCATCAGCCTTGACTCCTGCTGGAACTTTCCGGTTCAAAATGGCCAAATTTATTGGTATCCACTCCACTGATCCGTGTTGTGAGCCTCCTTCAAGGTCGATCCCAACATGCTGGCGAGTCCCAGAAGCCACAGGTGGCCTGTGATTCTCACAAATCTCCATCTTACGGTTTAGCTAAAAAATCAGCTGATTTTGAGAACTCATAGCACGAACCAAACCTGCATACTGACTCGGAAGCTTTGTCATGGGCAAAACTGCTGCCGATGTCTTCTTCAAAAGTCAATAAAACAGAGCACCGCCGATGCCAAATGAGCAGAACCCGTTATCATAAATCCAAATATATAAACATCTTCAGCGTCCTCCTGAGACAGGACTGAGAGCCACACCAGTTGTCAAATTCCCCACAGATCTCTGACGTATCCCACAGTGTGGGTCTCATCCAGACAAGAGGGTTCTCCAGGACCCTGTTGTTTTGTTGAAAATATTTGTCGATTGCGTTGAAAGTCCAGCTCACCAAATTCATAATCTTAATTTTCGTTTGGGAGATGTGTACCAGGAGCTTCAAACACACAGAGAGCAAAGCAAGAAAAAGGAGAACAGGGGAGGGAGGGCAGGAGTGTCCACCTTGAGTGAGAGCCAGAGTATATCACTGAAAACCATAAGTACACAATGTCTTGGCATCATACTCCGGCAGCCCTTAAATAGAGCACAGTGGCTCATTAGGGAGATGAGCAACAGCTGAGGAGATGAAAACTCCTCTCTGCTACTTAAGAGCTGCAAAAAGGTGATGTGAATCCAGAAAATCCTAGAATCTCTACAGAAATATGAACAGTGTACAGTATATTACAACCTAAAATACACTGAAAAGAAAACCAGTCAGTGTCTGGTATGACAACCATTTCCCTCACACATCTTCTTCTCATAAAGTTGATCAGGTTGTTTATTGTGGCCTGTGGATTGGTGGTCCACTCTTCTTCAATGGCTGTGCAAAGTTACTGGATATTGTCAGGAATTGGAACATGCTGTTGTGTACGCTGACCCAGAGCATCCCAAACATGTTCGTTAACTATGCTGACCATGCAAGAACTGGGATGTTTTCAGCTTCCAGGAATTGTGTACAGATTCTTGCAACATGAGGCCGTGCATTATCATACCGCAACATGAGATGATGGTTGTGGATGAATAGTACAACAATGTGCCTCAGGATCTCAACAAGGTATCTCTGCATTCAAAATGCCATCAATAAAATGCACCTGTGTTTGTTATCCATGACATATGCATGCCCATACCATAACCCCACTACCACCATGGGCCACTTGATTCAAAATGTTGACATCAACAAACCGTTCACCTACATACACACAGCCTACCATCTGCCCTGTAGAGTGAAAAACGGGATTCATCTGTGAAGAGAACACCTTTCGAATGTGCCATACACCACTGAATGTGATCATTTGCCAACTCAAGTCAGTTACGACGATGAACTGAAGTCAGGATGAGACCCTGATGAGGATGACAGGCGTACAGATGAGCTTCCCAGAGACTGGTTCTCCCCAGACTGTTTTTGTGAGTAGCAAGTTGGCCATCTGGCCTAAAACATTTAATTGTTGTACATGATGGTTGATTGTTTTGGATGGGTGCATTTTGCACATGCTAAAAGTCTAATTTTGAGATTCCAACAGGAGGTTGGCTTGAAACAGCAGTGAAGGCTACCTATGGGACAGATCTGGTTGGCAGGCCGTAGACTGAGGAAGTCCTCTGGATGGGAGATGAAACATTTCTCACTTAAACTGGTCCAGATGACACGATTTAACCTTTTTTGTTGTTATCTACCTGTATGACTGGAGCTTACAATCTTTTAACCCTGAGACAGTTTCTGCAGAAATTCTTTGGTTATGCAAACTGATCTTTGCAGCAGCTGTCTGGGTGGCTGGTTTCAGACAATCATAGAAGTTAAGATGCTAGATGTGGAGGACCTGGGCTGGTGTGGTTACACGTGGTCTGTGATTGTGAGCCCAGTTGGATGTAATGCCAAATCCTGTGAAAAGCCTTTGGAGATGACTTATGGTAGAGAAGTGAACATTCAACAGTTCTGGTGGCCATTCCTGCAGTCAGCATGCCAACTACACACTCCCTCAAAACTTGCAACATTTGTGGCATTGTGTTGTGATGAAACTGCATATTTTAGAGTGGCCTTTTATTGTGGTCAGCCTAAGGCACATCTATACAACAATCATGTTATCTAATCAGCATCTTGATATGCCATACATGTGAGGTGGATGGATTATCTCGGCAAAGGGGAAGTGCTCAAAAACACAGATTTACACAAATTTATGAACAATATTTAAGAGTAAAACGCCTTTTGTGTATATAGGAAAATGGGAGCAAAAACAAAAGTCTTGCGTTTATAATTTTGTTCAGCACATATTTGTCATCTCTTTGGTTTTTACTCATCTTAATTCTTTACACTGTTTGTTTTCTTCCCTCCATTTAAATGATTACTGCTCCTTTGCCAATTAATTTGTATTTATAGTTGAAAAAGAAAACATGTTAACATTTCACACAGTTACATCTTGAACCTATTCCTGTAAGCATTTTTTATGCAAGTGTGGCCCATTTATGCTTAAAATGTGACCTAATTTACCATAAACTAAACTGAGGCTAAAAATTGCCATATGTATAAAAAAGGTTTTATTCTATAATTTATACTAAGAAATTACAGAAATATGTCCAAACCTTCTTTAAAACTTTTCATTAAAGAAAGACAACTAAAATTTTGCATTAAAAATACTATTAGCTGTAACATTTGATGTTGATGATAAACTTTAAATTATTCTTTGTTCTGGTCCACCGCTTCAGACCAATCAAAACTGTTATTACACGTCATGTATTGTTAAAGGAAAAAAAACAACTAACCATTTAATATTAAAATCTGTTTGTTTCTTGTGAAAACAAATAATAAAAATAATAGTTTCATAACTGTGGATTATGGTGTTTAGCGTAAATGAGTAAAAACTGTCTTTTTTAGATTAAAAGAACAACATATAATTATCAGCTAAACAAATAATATACTGTATAATTGTTACTTAATTGGCAGACATTTTACTTTTTTCTCTAGTTTGATAAAAAACACAACTCTTTAGTTTGTTGATATCTGTTTTTACACATATCTTAAGACTGACTGCATATGAGAATAACAAAAAACCCCAGCTGATTCACGTAATTATAATAAAAAGGCAATAAACCATAAAACTTGAGCGTTTATTTCTGTCTACATGTCTACTGACCAGAGTTTTGTGTTATACAAATATATTTGAACAAGTAATTACAAAAATAGCTTACATTTTTTTACAACCAAATACACAACCGAGAACAAAAACAAAACATTCTTTCCAAGTCAAGCTAGCACGGTGTTGTCTAAGATTAGATAAAATATAAAACTCTAATCAGACACTGTGCCATGAGCAAACTTCAACAAACAAACAAAAAATAAAAATAAAAAAGGCATGAATAGAGTCTGTCAAAAGAAATAAACAAGGTTTGTAACAGACCCGCTAACACTGAAAAACAACAAGAACTTGTTTAAAGTCAAATGTATGCTTCTAACATGTTTTCCAAAACACATTTTATGATAAATCCCAACAGATGTTTCTCTCAGGTTTATGAAACTAACATAATAAATGCTTGTTTGATATCTGAAGCACTTATTTTAAACACAGAAATAAGTAAAAATACAAAATCATAACTGTTGTGCCGCTGATAGGGAAACTGTTTTGCAAGATGTTCAAAATAAATGTTGCAAATAAATATTTGAATGCAATAAGCAACAAGAACATTAATGCACATAGGTGTGGGTAAATCAGAGAAATATGCTGAAAAAGAGAAAGTGCTGCTCATCTCAACGAAGCCTTAAATCAGCTTAATTTCCCATGGATGTATATGTCTCCATCATGTTCTTGTGAATCCTGCTATAAAAAAATATCTAATAGTTTGTCCGTCGATAACGACCAGAACTGTGTCTTTATCAACAACTATGTTTTTAAAAAGTTTCCTTTGAAATAAAAAAGCTTAAGCACCAAGAAATAATGCCATCTGACAGAGATCTGTTGCAGAAAGTACACAAAACAATTTCCACATAGGTAATTGCAAAGATACTTTTGCTTTTTGTTGGTGAGATTAGAAAGCTTTTCTCAGGTGCGTCGCTAAACGAAAAAAAACAAAAACAACAACAACCCAACACATATCTAATTCAAATGTCATGTTAGTTCACTGCTAAAAGATATAAAAAAATAAACACACATTTAAGTCAGAAGGCGAAAACTTCTACTGTCGTCCAAAAAATAAAGATTCTGGAAGCAGTGATCAAACGCACCTTCCTTTTCTTGAGAAACACAAAGATCAGTCGACATGTGTTGAACAGGAGCTATTTCTTGTCATGGCAACAATCAGTAATACTGCTTATGGTTCCTTCAGAGCTGGCCTTTAACTTTCATTACTCGTTTTCTGGAGGCAATATACAGGAATGCAAACTGGAAACTGGAGTGAAACAGAGGAGATTAAAAAGAATACAGCACACGAGTTGAAGAAAACGACCCGTCTGAAGGGTGTTCAAATTCAAAAACAAAAGATTTGTTCTGCTGTGTCAGTTCTCGTCTGGGCCAAAAGTCTCCCGAGCTGCCAGGATGCTAAATAATGCTGATCATGCATTAATATTTTACACCAAACTCATACAAAATATCATCGTAACACATCCAAAGAATCTGCCTTTATGTGCCAGTGACTCCCGAATAACTTCCATCTGTAGCTCGACGTCATCAGCAACAGGTTTGTCTTTTCCTCGGAGGTGAAATTTGGAAACAGAGTGTTCAGTCACCAAACCGTGCCCCCCACCATCGTCTTGGAGAAGTCCCTCAATGGTAGATCCCAGTGTGACACAGAGGCATTGGGTAGCAAGCTCTGCTTCAGGGTCAGCTCAAATCTTCCAGTCCTTTCTCCACTTTCTCCCTCTTCTCAGGGCTGAGAGAGACGCTTGCGTTTGAGCTTCTGCCTCGTCATTTCCTCCTTTTTTTAATTTTAATTTTTTTAAGAAAACACAGAGAGGACAAGAGAGCACTGACAACACACTCCTCCATCTCATCATATATATAAAAAATAGTCCATCCATCCATTGGAGAGATCGACTGAGTGCACACACCACCACACGCCCTGCACCCCATTCTGTTAAGTTCTGTTAGTGAGGCACTCTTCTAACTCCAGCACCGCCATCTGGGCTGTTCTTCAAACTAAAAGTCCACATCGCCACTTCACGGCTACGTTCACAACCAAATTGTGAGCTAAAAATGTTCTTAAAACTTCAATATATTATATAATACGGCTTTGTAAAAATAAAGGGAGGAAAAAAACAGGTTGTTGGTGTGGTATTCAGCTGTATAATATACCAAATCATTATGTACAGACTCCATGCTGCTGGTTAGTCATCACTGCAAAGGAAGAAGAGTGAGGAATGGTTAGTGTTTGGGTATTATGATTTTAAAAAGCGTGCTTTTTCATTAGAAACTCACACACACACACCGTGATTTACTTACAAAATGCCCCTGTGTTAAATCAGAGTCAATATTTGTCATTTTAGTATGATAATTTGAGTTACCTGTTGCCTAAAACTGCACCCTATCTAAAAGCAATGTACTTAGAGTGGGATTAGTAGAAAAATGAAAACACTCACCTTATGCCAGCAGCCTGGTATTGGTAGGCCATCGTGTCCCTGCAAATGGAAAACAGAAAAGGAAAGTTGATGCATGTTTAAATTATGTCTCGTCAGCAAGAAAATGGCAGGCCATTGTCGCCATAAAGTGCCTCCGGTGTCCCCATCAAAACACTAGATCCAGGGTTGCCAGATAGGAAATGATGACATATCGTACTGCTGCTTAAAATGGTCATGTTTTGATCCAAACGATCATATGTGCTGAGGGAGGATGCACATCCTTCAACAGGCGGTGGGGGTAAGATGAGGTGCTGCGATTGGCTAAAATATTCACAGGAAGGAGACGAGCAAGCAAAACAGTCTGGCTGGTTGGATTCAAAACTGTTGAATGTATTTTTGGTTAACTATGTTGCATACCTAACCCTAACCAGACCATAAAACTACAGTATAAATATGATAAATGTCAAATTTCTGGTAACATTGATTAGATCTCTCATTTTATATTGGGGTGGCACGGTGGAACAAAGGTTGCTGTTGCCTCTCAGCGAGAAGGTTGACTGTCAAATCCTGGCCAGAGACCTTTCCAGGTGGAGTTTACATGTTCCATCCGTGCAGGTGAGGGTTTTCTCTGCACTCTGTTTTTCTACCACAGAACAAAAACATACGTTAGGCGAATTGCTAACTTGGTTGTTTGCCTCTTTTGTCTCTATGTGTCTCTGTGATGGACTTGCAACCTGTCCAGGGTGTCCTCCGCCTCTCACACAGTGACTGCTGAATATAAGCACCAGTGACCCTCGCGACCCAGAATGGAAGAAGTGGGTAAAGATAATGGATGGATTTTTACACCACGTTCTCTGACTGAGTTTATGTTTGGGCATGTGCTACACTGTTAACTTGACTGAATGCAAGAAGTGTTTATAAGACAAAACAGCTAAATTATTTTCACATTTCCTTATTGCTCTTACCGAAATCAAATCCAGTAGCTTTGATAATAATCCCATATAATAATAATCCCATTACTGAGGGATTTGAATAGTGAATAGTGTTGGTAGTTTTTGAGATGAATACTTTTTGGGCTGGATTTTGATGCGGCAAACCCAGTGCTCGATAGGGACTTTTCTTATACCTATTTGCAGCTACACAACAAAATGGAAGTTTGTATGTAGCTTTCTTTTTCAAGTTATTAAACTCAAAAGTATATATATATATATATATATATATATATATATACATACATACATACACACATACATACACACATACATACATGTTGTATTGTGACTTGTCAACAATGTAGATGAAGATGTAGCCACAAACCAATTGAAGTTGGTAAGTGAACATGCAACAAAGTTCATGACCCGACTAAGAATTATTGTAAGTGATCATGCTCACCATATGCACAGATGGATGGAGGGTTTTTACAATTCCATTCTTTTTGACTGTCAAAGTATTGCAACATATTTTAAATGTGGTATATTTAATCACTTTGACAAATTGACTGTAATAAGAGTTAATTTTGGACCTTAAATACACAACCACTGAATTCTAAAACATTTATTGTTTTTTATCTCTTCATTACAGTAAACAAGTGTTAACTGTGAGAGAATACGTAGTTCGACAGAAGAAAAGAAAACACAAAAGGAAGTAAAATGTTTGAACAGATGCATCGCAAGTGATGAAAAGCAAGCAAGAAAGGAAGGAAAGATACTGTACCACAGGACAGGGGGCCTCAGGGCCCGAAGGAGGAAGAGGAGGAGTTTCAGGAGAAGGTGCTGTCTTCACAGAGAGACCTTTAGTCTCATCACAGCCCTGTCAGGAAGTAAACATTGACAGCACAGAGGAGGAAACTCAAAGGCAGTGGTGGGCACAGCTAACCAAAAAGTTAGTTTTGCTAACTGCTAATTCATTAATCTGATTTTTTTAAATATTGGAAGCTAACGCTAAAGTGCTAACTTTGATCATACACTGCTGTCACTGACACTGTAAGACTGTCTGTAATGTGACAATGTTTTAAGTGAACACAACTCAAAACGGTTCATAAATCACAGGTAAAGCCTCCATGTTTCATTCAGAGGAGTTCTTTCAGGAATTAATCTGGTCCATAGGAACCAAAGAGGTGGAGCAGAACTCTGCTGTGCTGAAGCAGAGTGATGCATTCAGTGTGTGTCGGACGTCTCCCTCGTGTCATTTCCTGTAATGAGTTAACTCACTTTGGCGATCCTCTTTTTGGTTAACTACTTTTATAAACTAACTACAAAGTTGCTGTGCAAAATCATCTATATTATCTCAGTAATAAATTTGTCTGTATTAAAGTAAAGATGTGTGAAATGTGTGAGAGAGTCATGTCCTAGAGAGAGTGTGAGCATTGCAAAGCATGCTGGGTAGGAATTATGTGTTCAGTGTTTCTGAATGTGAAAATGGGTTTTTCATGTTATTTTCCTGTTCTGGTTTATTTTCACATTCGTGTTTAAGGCTCTATTATTGTCTGTAAACTGACACCATGAGTCAGAGACTGTTTTCTGTAGATAAGAAGGGTAAAAGTACAGCAAGGGTGGAGACAACGCCATGTGGCGCTTAACTTTGCTTAGTTCTGCGTAGCATAAAACACAATAGCATTGCTCTGTGTAAATCACCATAAAAACAATCAGATTTATACACTGCTCACAAAATAAAATGGAACAGTAAAATAACACATCCTAGACCTCAATTAATTAAATATTCTCATTGACAAACTTTATTATTAGCACAGTGGAATTGATTGAGAAGAACATAACACAAAAATTATCAATGTAAATCAAAATTATTACACCATGAAGATCTGGATTTGGATTCATACTTGATATGAAAGTGGAAAATAACATGACAGGCTGATTCAACATCAGTGAATATCCCTCAAGACAAGTCTAAATGAGGCTCAGTAGTGTGTGTGGCCTCCATGTGCCTGTATAACCTTCTAACAACGCCTGGGCATGCTCCTCATGAGACGGCAGATGTTCTCCTGAGGGATCTCTTCCCAGACCTGGATTAGAGCATCAGTTTGCTGCTGAACAGTCTGTGGTGCAATGTGGCCTTAGTGGATTGACTGAAACATGATGTCCCAGATGTACTCAGTTGGATTCAGGTCTGGGGAATGGGCAGTCCATAACATCAATGCCCTCATTAAGCAGGAACTGCTGACACACTTAAGCCACATGAGGCCTAGCATTGTCATGCATAAGAAGGAACTCAGGGCCCACTGCACCAGCATATGGTCTCACAATGGGTCTGAGGACCTTATGGCAGTCAGGGCACCTCTGGCTAGCACATGGACGGCTGTGCGGCCAGCCAAAGAAATGCCTCCCCACACCACGACTGACCCACCAACAAACCGGTCATGGTGGAGGATGTTGCAGGATGTTCTTCACGGTGTCTCCAGATTCTGTCACGTCTGTCACATGTGCTCAGTGTGAACCTGCATGAAGAGCACAGCGTGCCAATGGCAAATCTGCCAGTTTTGGTGTTCCCTAGCAAACGCCAATCGTCCTGCACGATGTTGGACTGTAAGCACAGGCCCTATATGTGGATGTCGAGCCCTCATACCACCCTCACGGAGTCTGTTTCTGACAGTTTGAGTGGAAACATGCATATTAGTGGTCTGCTGTAGGTCATTTTGGAGGACCCTGGCATTGGACCTGTTCCTCCTTGCACAATGGATGAGTTAGCGGTCCTGCTGCTGGGTTGTAGCACTCCTACGGCCCCCTCCATGTCTCCTGGTGTATTGGCCTATCTCCTGGTGCATATTCCATGCTCTGGACACTGTGCTGAGAGACACAGCAAATATTCTTGCCACTGCTTGCATTGATGTTCCATCTTGGATTAGCTGCACTACTTGAGCAACTTCAGTGGTCTGTAAAAATAACGCCTCATGATGCCTCTATGCCTGACAGCACTGATGAAATGAAAAAGTGACTAAAAGTTCAACCAGAAAGGACGAGAACAGAGAAATGACCTGTGGTTACCACCTGCAGAATCACTCTTTTATAGGGGTTGTCTTGCTAATTGCCTCTCATTCCACCTGTTGTGTGTTCCATTTGCACATGTAGTGAACTAAGCCTCAGGTCAAATCCTGACCTTGAGGGCCTTCCTGGGACAAGAACTGTATTTCATTGATTTGAGTCCAGAAACACAAAATCAAGTCCATCCAGAGACTTTCTGTGTGTCCTGCACTGATCAATTGAAAGAACACTCTCTTTTTTATTATCATTACTATTTAACAAATGTCTTGATAATCAAAGTGTGTTTAGTTCAAACCATTTTAAATGTTGAAGTGAACTACTCATTTTAAATCAACTGTGAAACAGTATAAATGATTTTCAATCCTCATTCAAAGTAGAAATCTAGTTAATGTCTGTTACAGAGTAATTATTCATTTTCTTGATCTTCTGTCTGAAATGAGCAAGTGTAAGTCGGTCAAAAGTCAAGTTTCGGTCAACTACATGTTTACTGGAAAGAAATGTCATGTTTAACTTTTTCAGACAGATAGAAGTAGAACTGACTCCACAAAGTCTCGGTTTCTTCAAAACATTTTCTGTTTGTTCTTAAACAACTTAATCTTTTTCCTTGACTTTTAATAACCTCTTACATCACAAAAAACACACCCCTGATTAGCTCTTTCAGCCAATCAGGACTTCCCAAATGAACCGGAAACAGAACTCTTTAAATGTCGACACTTCCTAGTTCCAACCAGTGCGGTGGGAGAGCAGTTCAGTTCGGAGAGCAGAACCGAACAGAAAAGTTGCTGGAGAGAACAGGAGGTTCCAGACATGATCCGAAGTTCTTCAGAGTCTCGTGGGAATTATGGAATCTTCCACATCTGAGTGGAACTCTGACGGGCTCACAGCTCATGCGAGTCCAACCGAGAGGTGAGCGTGGTGTGAACGAAGCACCGTCACTACTCCGGACGTTTTCCAACCATCCTACGGAGACGCTGGAAAAGCGTTGAAAGGCAACTCTACACCGAAGTCGGAATTATCCTCTGCCAAGGTAAAGAGTCGATCTTCAACTGCAAGTGTACCGAGGAAAGCTGGGTTCGAATGGAGAGTGCTGTCGTTCTTCTTCAACACACATTTCTCACACACATTTTCTCTCCATTTAAACTCCCTTCATTTCCATCTTTAAAACTCTTCTATCTTGCCAGTAATTAGTCCAGATATTCTCAGAAATGTCTGTTGTAAAGCTGCAGAGATACCATGGCCGTATGGTCTCTGATTGTAAAGCTAATTAATTAAGCTGTTATTGTAATCAAATTGCCAAACTAATGTAAATGTTTGATGTTAAACTTTGATTCTGTTAATAAATGACCGCATTCATTTGATGGGTCAAAGAAAATTAACGTCTCACATCACATTTAATCATTCAATGCACGATAGAACTCAGTCCAGAAAAATGAAAGAATCCGTTTAATTTATGGATAATATCTCACAGATATATGTTCATTTACACACAGCAGCAGGTGAAATTGATTCACAATAAGTGTTACTACACAACTGGTGACACTGATTCCATCCACAAAGGTGTGACTGATTTGGAGTTACCTTGTTTTGTTGAGGTGTTCCCTTTATTTTTTGAGCAGTGTATTTAGTGGAAGCTTATTCTGCTAAAGGTATTCAAAGTTAGTAAAAATGCTAATATGCTAAACAGAAAGTTAGTTCTGCTGTTAGCGGTTTAATGGAACCATGCCCACCACTGCTCAAAGGAAACGACAAATTTAAAGATAAAGAGGCAGGAATAATGTAGTTAAAACCTGCTGTGTCACTAAATGTGTGTGTGTGTTTGATGAATTTAACAATTAAAATAATTTGTTTAAACCTTTCAGAAATGTTGGACCCCATAAGGACACAGTATCTCAGTGGTTCCCACGAGGTAATTAAAACCAGTATATGTGTGCATGTGTGTGTATGGAGGTGACGTACCACAGGACATGGTTGGTCCAGTCCTGGAGGACCCTGTTCTCCTTTGGGGCCTTTCAGACCTCTCTTCCCTACTGATCCCCTGTCCCCCTGCAATACAAAGACACACACACAGAGTTTGACACAGTGCACAACGAACTTGACGGCAGAAACAGTCTGGAAACGACCGTAAAAACTGAGGCCAGAATCACCAAATGTCTCTGGTTTATGAACCAACCTTTTCTCCTTTTTCCCCTCGGTCTCCCTTTTCTCCCATCAGACCGGGGAAACCCTGCAGTAGAAACAGATTACAGAGTGGATCAGTGCAGGGAACAGGTTCAACTTCAGCCAAACTGAAAATATCATTGAGTAACTCACATCTAACCCGGGCTCCCCTGGTCTGCCCTGTAAGCACATATGTAAAATTACACCTCATATTTTTTTAGATTAAATATGTTGTTTGGTAAAATAAATAAAATAAATGACACTTACTTTTTCTCCCTTTGCACCTGGAAGTCCCACCAACCCAGGGGACCCAGAAGGACCCTGATGGCCGTCTAGTCCCTGCAGATGAAGTGAACCATCAGCACTGCTTTAAACACAACACGCAGCATAAATAAAACACTAACCACAGCCCAGATGTGGCTTACTTTGGGTCCAGCAGCACCAGCATCCCCCTTCTCTCCCTTCATCCCAACTCCTGGCTCACCCTGCAAGGTAACAATTACAATTTATTTAGTTTTTATATCATTCAACCAAACCAAAATAATTTTTTAAAGCAACAAAACACAAATTTAAGTACAAAAATTGACAAAGTGCAATGAAATAATAGTTGCTGATAATAAAATAATGGTTACATTTAAATGGAAACATAACAGTTTTTGTTTTAAGACTCAAACATTTTGCTTTTGAAAGGAAAAGCATAATTTACAAATTAGTTTTTGTTTGATTTAATAGCATAAAAACAAAATAAACTCTATAAGCACATGTCATCACATTACATATCCTGATGCATGCGCAATAATCCAGGTAGAAAAATCTAAAAAAAGTTAAATCTGGTCCTCTGGACATTCAAAAAACCAAAACAAAGCAAAACAACAACAACAACAAAAATGTAGAAACGTTTTGTCATTCATCCGAAAGACTTCCTCAGTCTGAGGTGCTGTATTCAGCTCAGTCTTATAAATAGCACCTTCTCAGAGTGGATCAACCAGTTTGCTGCTGGGCAGCTGGTTTTGGTTGTCAGCAACAAACTGGTTGATCCACTCTGAGAAGGTGCTATTTATAAGACTGAGCTGAATACAGCACCTCAGACTGAGGAAGTCTTTCGGATGAAAGACGAAACGTTTCTACATTTTTTGTTGTTGTTGTTTTGCTTTGTTTTGGTTTTTTGAATGTCCAGAGGACCAGATTTAACTTTTTTAGAGTCATCACATTACCTTCTTCATAAAGCAGAAAAATCATATTACCTTAGGACCAGGCATCCCGTGCAGCCCCTGAAACACAGCGTGGGCGTCAGTGACAGCTGCAGGTTCAAGGCTCAAACGCCAGAACTGGAGTCCTGATATAAAACTCACCGTAGATCCTGGGGACCCGGGTACTCCTGGAGGGCCAGGTGGGCCCGGCTGAGAAATCATCTGAATCTGATAGTGATTAAAAAAAATCAAACAGGAAAAAAAAAAGGGACAAAAATTAAACTATAATAAAAAGTGATTAACTATAATTGTTTTATTACATTTTATGTAACGGTGAGTTTTAAATAAAACATATTCCTGGACAAAATACAGGAAAAGAAGCGATGTGCATTAGAGAAATGCATATCGCCCGCCACCTTGCATGTCAAGGTTTTAAACAAAAATATTGAGAAGCCTTTTAGGGTGTCCTGAGAATTATATTCAGCAAATTTAAACTCAACATCTGTAAATAATAACAGTTTTAACCACTTTTTGAGTTAAGTTTGCTCAGCTGTAGTGGCCATCTTGAAGTGAGCTGACCCCAACGTTTTATCAGTTGTAGATGCACATCCAAGCATTCAACCCTGAGAGTTTCATTAACATATGGCCAGTGGTTCATGAGACATTTTGCTAACAGACAGAAATAATTGACTCCAAGCGTTAATGCCAGTTATAAAGAAGAATTTTGCATAATCTGTTAGTGCTCAGAATATGTTTTGTGGATGAGTCTCAGCTACTACCATCCTACATTTTAGCTCAGTATCTGTAAAACTGACTGAGTTAAAGGCAGCTATGTGTTGGCTAACATTGATTAGTCGTGGTGGCCATTTTGAATTGGGAAAACAAAAGTTGAAAAATAAGAGATAAAGGCTGCTTTTGTGTTTTAGTTAAATTGTTGTATTTTCGACATGCCCGGTTTCTGATATGCTTTCCGTGTTTTAATCTTGAATCGTGTTTTTTTTTTTCTGTTTTGACATGTTTGGGAAATGTCTGACGAAAGTTTGGTCGCTTTTGTCAAACGTCTCTTTTTGTTATGTTTCTCTTTTCCCCCTCCTTTCCTTTTTGTTTATTGGAACTGTTGTGTTTCTCATGAAACTTTTGCCTTCTATTTGTTTTTCCAACTCGTGGCTAGTTGTTGCAAATTTGGCTTCTAAGCTGAAAATTTAATGTAATTTTGTAATCTCTTTAACATGTTTGATACCTTTAAGGTGTTTGCAAGTGTTTGTTGATTTAAAAATGGCTACATTAATAAAATAAATGCAGCACAATGTATTTTAGTTTGCCTCAGATGAGTAACGAGCTTCAGTGTGTTCTTGTTTCTCACTAACCAGGTTGTCGTCCAGCCTGCAGTCGCCTTTTTCTCCTTTCTGTCCGTCCACACCCTGACCCGAAACGACCAAGAGTTACTTTCACTGGTGACATTTAGGAACTTCTGAGCAACATGTGTGCTGTCAGTACTCACAGCAGGCCCCGACAGACCCAACTCTCCCTTCTCTCCTCTTTCACCTGGATGTCCTGGATCACCTGTGTCCCCTTTGGGCCCCTGAGAATCAGAATCAGCTTTATTGTCTTTGCACCGAAGCACAACAAAATTACATTTCAGTACAGTCTGTCCGAGAGAAACATAAACAAACAGACATGGGGGAGACGGAGGTGACTGAGGCTGCCAGCCTCGAGAGGCACGGCCCTTTTTTTCAGATAAGGAAAAAGAAACACGAGGGGGAGAGTAGGTGTAGAAAAAATCAACTTTCACACTGTGTCCTAGACGGGACACAGTGTGAAAGTTGCAAAAAGATGACCTCAGCACATGAAACAGCAACACTGATGTCATCATTATACATTTATGCATGAGGAGGTTAATGAGGGCAGTGAGTTGTCCGAGGACCCAGCCACAAAGTTCCATAGTCCTGATAAAGATGGCACAGTGCCTATCAGCCGGCTCAACTCTGACACAGATCCACAGGTGTCCTCAGGAGGGGAGCGATAGAGGAGAGGCGGGGAGCAGAGCTTCTCGTTCACATAAACAACCAGGAGAAGTTTGAGATAGCTGGCCAATTCAAGGCTGAGTGGGGAAGCCAAATTCAGATAACACAATTATTTTGGGTCAGGCGGCCTCTGCTTGAATTTCCATGTCTACCTTCATAGTTCTGCTCGTACGTCTCACTGGTGATTCCAAACAGCCAAATTTTGTGGTCACACTGCCGGGCCGAGCTTGTAGCCTTCTCCAAGGTTGATTCCTTTCTGCCAGTGAGTCCCCGGAGCCGCAAGTGGCCTGTGATTCTCAGAAATCGTGTCCAGCTTACGGCTCAGCTCATGCAGCATCTGAGTCTGAGAGCTTACCGCTCGGTACATTCCTTCATACAAGGCAGGCAGCCTCACAATTGCCAGAACTGCTGCTGCTGTCTTCCGAATTTGTCAATATGCCAGATACCCACCAACTCCAAAAGCAGAAATCCGGTTATCGTAAATCCAATTATGTACGTGTCTTCTACATCCTTAACAGACAATACAGACAGAGACACCATCTTCCACTGCCCCCAAAAATCCGTCATGTCTCCAGCTGCGAGTGTCCCTTCAGGGCGTGAGGGCTCTCCTTCGCTCAGTCTTCTCGTTGAGAAAATTTTATCAATTGCGTAGCGAGACCAGCTGACCAGAGCCATAATTTACAATTCGGAGGACATGTAGTGAGAGGCTCCGATATGAGGGTAGAAATGAATGAGGGTATGAGGGTCAAGAGTCAAGAGAAAGTAAATAACGTACACTGATGTTCCTCGATGGTGAAGGATTTGAATAGTGAATGTTTTTAGTTTTTTAAATGAGTGTTTTTCTGAACTGGACTTGAACAGGGCATGAGAGTGAACCTAAATGTTTTTGGTGCACGATATTCCAGTGGAGAGTGGTTACACTGTGTCAAAGAAGAAAACAAGTTTATTATTATTATTATTATTATTATTTTATTTACATGTCCCATGCAGTGTAGAGTGACAGATCCTGGTGAGCAGATGGAGCATCTTTATCCACCAGCAGGGGCAGTGTTGGAGCCAGGGGGTGGCCAAAGGTGGCCTTGACCACCACATATTAATCTTTGGCCATTCCAATCATTTCAGGGAACTATACGTTTAAGCAGAATTAAAAACTAGAAAGCATAGTTTCCTCAAAAGATCAGGACGGCTTGCATTAATGTATATGTTGGTGGCCATCTTGGATTTTGACATGGCAACCCTATTTTCTATAGGGACTTTTTTTTACACCTAGATGCACCCATACACCAAAATGGAAGTGGGCACCTCACTTATTTTCTTTTAAGTAATCATGATCACAATAAGGACAGATGGACTGAGAGTATTTTCAATTCTCCTCTTCGCTCCGTGATGGGGGACAAAAAGAACATTTTACTCTAAAAATGTTGACAACATATAAAGACATCAAGTCAGGCAGTGTGTAGTCTCAGCTCTGTACCTTTTCTCCATCGACGCCTGCCGGTCCAGGTAAACCAAGCTCACCCTGAAGGGACAACGAGAGACAGAATAAACACAGGGAGCTGTTTCGATACAAGAAATATCTAACATCTTTTTTTAATCTTTATCAAATAAAACAAATGAACGCCAGTAAGATAACAGTTACCTTTGCCCCTGGAGGGCCAGGAGGTCCAGGTGGGCCCTGGAATCAAACAGAATGAGTCCAGTTTTACTCCAATTTAATGTCGTTCAATGATTTTTTTTAAAATTAAAACTGATTGCCTATAAACGCAGCACTGCAACACTCTGACCCCGTCAGTAAACAGTAGCTCAGTCACACAAGCTGTCCAGAACTTATCGGCTCCACTTCGATGGATGGTTTTCCGATCGCCACGTGTTTACGTTACGTGTTTACGTTACGTGTTTATCACAAGTGGAAACTTGTCATACACAGAGCAGCAAACAAAAGCCGGACTGATCACAACAAAACCCGAAGCGGTTTTCATCTCGCAGAGATTGCAGAACGCCGCTGGACGCGGTTTGGCTTCATTTTTCATTCGGCTGATTGTTTTGACGTCGGGAAGGAGGCTCGACAACAACGGATGAGGAACAGCACGCACATGCGGGCCACATTTTCACTGCGATGGGGTGACAGGCCTCCTAAATCAAGCTCCCTAATTCCTCCATCTACAATGTTACACTTGTTCCTCCTCCCTCTGAAGGCCTCGGCCATCTTGAAGTCATAAAAGGGGGAAACCACGGTGCCTCCCAGAGGTGTACGGTTCTTGAACTTTTTCTTTGTTCTCCAAAAATGACAGAAACCGAAGACCTTTAGAAGCGGCTATTTGATCTGGGGTGTTTCATCACAGGGGAGAAAAGGTCTGCTCATGCAAACAAACAGATAAAAAGCAGCAAAATGAGCGTCAGCAGCAAACAGAGTCAGCGCTGCTTTATGGCGCATTCATCGATATTTTCAGCATCCACAAAACCTATTAGAGCTGCTTCTCACACAAACAAGCAAACAGGCCGAGGCCCGAGCTGGGTGGCCGGTGAGCATTTCCATGCTGCCTGACTCTGAGGGGTAAGAGGCTCCTGATAAGATCTCAGGTTCTTATTATCGCCGCCTGCTTTGTAACAATCTCAGGCTGTTAGTTACAACTTTGCATGCAGGATCCCAGTTCGGATCATATCAGGGGACTGGGCTCAGACTGGGTTTTAATCAAATGCATATGCTGCCACAAAGATAGCTATCTTACAGTAGCATGTAGTCCAATACTTAGTAAGATCAAAATCAAGACTACAGTCGTGGGATGAAGGAAGTCTCTTTGAGTTCTAAAGAGAATAATTTGGTGTTTAGCAAGCTCCAAAAATATTCAAATTTTAGTTTATGTGCTTAAAAACTCACAACAGATTCCACTGCGTCTGTTCAGGAAACAACAAAGCCAAAAATGGAAAAAATTGAGCCTATTGCTGCTGATCAGATGTATTGATTAACTGATCGGCAGTGTGAGCGCCTCTATAAAAGCTGGAGTTTAGTCAGTTTGCTGCTCTGGAGCACACAGATGTGTGTTAACACAACATCAGGGTGGAAAGACATCAGCAATGGCCTTAAAGGCACAACTGTTGCTGCCTATCAGACTGGGAGGAGGTCTGGAGTTCATTATCTTACAGTGAGGAAATTACATTTGTTTTTCTTTCAGCTGCTCCCTTCTGTATGGGGTCACCACAGTGATGCAACTTACACCCAACTGGCAATTGTTTTATGCTGAATGCCCTTCCTGTCCCATCCTGGACTCGAACCTGCAGCTTCAGGATTATGAGACAGAAGCACTGACCACTGATGCAGTCTCAGTTGCACCACCCCATGCTTGACTAAAGCAGGGGTCTGCAACCTTTTTGATCAAAGAGCCCTTTCTGCACCTTCACTCATTCAAGAAAAAAGAGCCCGAAGCCACGAAACCTGATACAACTGTGATGATCAACTGGTGGCCCATGGGCCACTTTGAGGAAGTTGGAGGGTTTTTTTTTCTGACAAGTGGGGGTGACCGTTTAAAACTAATAATCAATAATTAATTTCAACATTTATTGATATTTTTACATTTTGGGACCAAAAAAACCCAAAAAACAAGTCTTCAAATTTTATGTAGGTTTTGGTCAAAGCTTCAAAGAGCTGCAGATGAGGGACTACAGAGCCACATGTGGCCCCAGAGCCACAGGTTGCAGACCCCTGGATGAAAGCAACTAAAACCAGTCGGAAATTTGGACCTTAAACAGAATGATGATGAAGAGAAAACGAGTCAAGGTGCCACAAAGTGTCCAGTCCATCAGAAATGCTGAGGTGGGACCTGAAGAGAGTCGGGCAGAAACAAACAGCTGCAAACCTCAATGAGCTGAAGCAACAGTGGAGAGGAGGGTGGTTCAAAGCTCCTGGTGGCTCGGCCATTTTTTCATCCTGATATGTAAACTCTCAAATTGAAAGAGTGCAGACTTTCTTTTCTTCTCTATAGCGCATGTGTCAACCTCAAATCCAGCCCTTAAGATCATACTTTAAATGTAAAATTGATTAATCTCTACAGATTCTGATTAGCTTTGTATAGATCTAGTAGAGTGCTGTATGAATGGGTAAATGAGGGCACAGATTGTTGTGTAAAGAGCTTTGAGTGTCTTGACAAGATAGAAAGGTGCTATACAAGTAGTCCATTACCATTTAAAATATTTTTTTACTGCATCCCCTTTATCTTTAAAAATCTGATACTTGATTAAGTGCAGACTTCTCAAGACAGCTGGCCAAATAAAGCCAAATAAAAAGTTGGATGTTCCCGTCATCTTTCATTTTGACGTGGAAAGAGCAACAGAGAACGTCAAATGAGACGAGTCAAACTCTTGTTGATGAACCTGCAACCAGGAAAAGACGTCAGGTGTCTTAACGTATCAACTGAAACTGGCCCTTGGCTCAGACCAAGTGGTTAATTGTGGCCCCTTTTCTAACTGATGGTGATAGCCCTGCTCTGTCGGGTGTTGTCTCTTTAAGCTCAATACTAAAGGAGAAGTTCACCTTTCTATTTGCAGACACTGTTACTGAACAAAAAACACAGAGGCTCTACAGGGCTGTCCAAACTCTTTCATATGTATCCAGATGACTAATGACAAAACTATCCAGATGAAAGGACTCGTGGGCCTCAAAAATGTGAATTTAACTCAACGTTAACAATATTAAGGAAAAAGGACAAAAGTTGACTAACTTTGGTGGAGAAAAAGTTTTAAATTGTTGTAGATCCAAAACATTAAAGCCTCATAAACACTAGTTTTTTTTAAATTAATCCATCCATCTATTATCTTTTACCCGCTTCTTCCATTTTGGGCCACGGGGGTCGCCGGTGCCCATGTCCAGCAATCACTGTGTGAGGGGCGGGGGACACCCTGGACGGGTCGCAAGTCCATCACAGATTAAAAATGATTTATTTGATTTGTTGTGTTTATGTTTGTTGTTTTCTTGTGTTTGGAAAGTTCATTTTAGTCTGTTCTCAGCAACAAAAGTTTAATTTGACTAAGTTTCCTGTTAAAAGTGGGTCGATCAGACTTTTGGACCATGGACGGCCCAAAAGTCTGATCGAAGTCCTGAAAAATCGTCCAGCTGTCAGTCGCTACAACAGATTCATAGAAGGTTTGATAAAGTTGATCAACTCGTATGTAGATGATGCCACATTATATTCATTTAAAATGTCCAATTTCCCTCTTGATTATTTTATCAACTGCAACTTTTAGCCAAGTTTTATGAATCATTATCTAAAAGTCTCTTTCTGGTAGAAATCTTTGAAGGTTTTTGGCGCTTTGTACCATGAAGAGAAAATATAAAGATTATAGCCAAAGGTGTGTATTTTGCTTAATATCGCTCATTTTGAAAATATTGTTTTTCATCTGTTTGGCTGTTAAACATAAACATTATATAAAAAAGGATTGCCAAGTAATTTGCAGAGAGTCTGCATCGACCTCTTAAGCCTGCAGGCCAAAATAATATCATTCTTAAACTGCAGCTATGGGCCGCACAATATCACCCCAAGGGCCGCAAATTGCCCGCGGGCCGCACTTTGGACACCTGTGCTCTAAAGCAGCACTTTTCTTCACGGTTGGTGTGTCTCTTCAACGCTCTCTGATCAAACAACACAGCTGCAAGACATTTTCTGAGATCACGTGTTGTATCCCAGATGAACAAATGAGCTGAAGGAGCCAGACGTTCAGTAAGGCTCTTGAGACGTGCTCCACAGAGAAACATCCAGAACATCTGAGCATCCACACAAACCCTGCACACTGAAGCTGGTGCACGTCGGGAACACACGGTGCACGAACAGTGGTGTTAGTTACAGGCAACGCCACCAAAAACCATGCAGCAATCAGCAGCGCGTTACCGAAATACTGATGGTGCTGATGGCCTGTCGAGAAGAAAATGGCAACACGTTGTGGTTAGACGCTTCTGGATTAAATAATCCACACGTTCCTCTTGCCGCAGCCGTATCCAGGCTGGTTTGTCTGAAGCTTTTGTATTGTGAACTCCGGTGCTGAATTTCTGACGAAACGTGCAACAAGACTCACCTGGAATGCATCGAGGAGCTTGCCGTTGAAGTCGACAATGTCCGAGGAGCCCGCGGCCCCCTTTTCACCAGGATAAACCAGCAGAGGATATTTGATTAGAAAATGGACACAATCTACACAACTGGATTTAAAAAGATAAAATATTACTGTGTCTCACTGAACATACCTTGGGTCCCTCAGGTCCTTGCGCTCCTGTCTCTCCTTTATCACCCTGTAAGGAGCAAATAGCATGCCACTATATGACTGGTACAGAGGATTAGGGCCACAGTGCTGGCAAAAAATAATAAAATAACATAATAATTGTAAAAATATCCTGAATTACAACTTTTTTCCTAGAATTCTGACTTTAATCTTAGATTAATCTGACTTTAGTCTTAGATGCAAATGGAACAAATGAAAAAAAGAAATCAGACCTTTTCTCAGAGTATAGTGTTTATCACAAGCTATCGTTCGTTATATCTTTTTCTTCTTCTTTCGGCTGCTCTTCTTCAGGGGCCGCTACAGCGAGATAACTCACATAAAGACTTGGTAATTAACTATTTTGAGTCAGCCTAATTGGGCACAGTTGTGCTCTCTCCACTTGCTCCCAGTAATTTAAGCTTCTTTCTGCTTTTTTAGCTATCATTCAGCTGTTTTATTTTGTTTTGTTGCAAATTTCTGCCTTTTTTTGGCCAGATAACCCACATTTTTGTTTCTTTAAACTTAATCGAGTACAATTATTCTCTCCCCATTTCCTTCTAGTAATTTAAGCTTTTTAAATCATTTTTTTAAGCCAATTTTGAGCTGTTTTATTGCTAATTTCACATTTTTTTTCCCCAGACAGTTTCCACTTTTTTGTGCTCCTTTCTGCTTCTTTACCATTGGGCAAAATTGGTCTCTCTCCACTTTCTTCTGCTAATTTAAACGTTTAAGCTAAGATATTTTAGCATATTTAGCTAATATGAGCCGTTTTCAGATGAACTCAAGGTTTTTTGTGGTCATCTCTGCTACTTTCAGCCTAATTAACTTCTTTCTGCTAATTTCAGTTTGTTATGCTCCATTCAGCATATTTCTGCTAGGTTAAGCTTCTTTCTGCCTTTTCAGCTAATTTTAAATATCCATCCATCCATTATCTTTACCCGCTTATTCCATTTTGGGTCACGGGGGTCGCCGGTGCCCATGTCCAGCAATCACTGTGCGAGGGGCGGGGGACACCCTGGACGGGTCGCAAGTCCATCACAGGGACACAAAGAGACAAACGAGACAAACAACCATTCACTCTCACTCACATCTAGGGACAATTTAGAGTTACCAATCAGTCTAACATGCATGTTTTTGGACTGTGGGAGGAAACCGGAGCACCCGGAGGAAACCCACGCATGCACGGAGAGAACATGCAAACTCCACCCAGAAAGGTCCCTGGACCGGGGTTTGAACCAGGGACCTGCTCGCTGAGAGGCAGCAGCTCTACCAGTTGCGCCACCGTGCCGCCCCTAATTTGAACTAATTTCAGCTTTTTAAGCTAATTTCCTAATTTTTGTACTAATTTTTCCTATTTCAGCCTAATTCAGCAAATGTGTTCTTTCTTCTGCAAAGTTAAACTTTTTCTTCCATTTCAGCTATATTTCAACATTTTTAGCTAATTTCAACAAGTTCTTCAGTAATAATTCACGTAGCATCTTTGCTGTAAATGCAGTTTCTCTGTTTACATACCTTTAAGCCCGGGAGTCCATCCATGCCCCTTTCTCCTTTTTCACCAACACCTGGCTCTCCCTGGTGCACATAAGGTTACACGGTGACCGTCAGTGAACGGACTCAGAGAAGTGGACAGTTTTACGTAAGGCTCTGTGGTACCTTTGGACCTGCAGGACCCTGCACGCCTGGATAGCCGGGCTCGCCATCCTCTCCCTGCGACAGTTAAACAAATGTTAAAAGCTGTTTTGGCCAAACCATAAAAATATAAAAAATGTCTGCAGCCTCACGCAGCATCGTGAGATGTGTTAGCACTCAGGGCATGTGTTACAAATGACTCTCAGCTACTACCACATCCATAAATTTAGCTTCATATCTGAAAAATTGATGGAGTTACAGTCATTTTAATGTTGACTAATTCGGATTAGCGGTGGTAGTCGTCTCGATGTGGACTGACTAAAAGCAAATCATTTATAGAAGTACGCACAGTGATGACTTTCTGAGAGCTTCATTAAGATCCATCCAGTGGTTCATGTGATATTTTACTAACAGACAAACAGAGTTGACTCCAACAGTTAATGCTAAAGTTTTAAACAAGGATCTTCCACAACAAGTAGCACTTGGAGTTTGTGTTGTGACTGACTCTCAGCTGCAGCCACACAAAACTTTAGCTCAGCATTTGCCAAATCGACTGAACATTAGCCTTTTTCATTTGGCTGTGGTGGCCATTTTGAATTGGGTAGTCTCCAAGAAGGTAGACAAGCAACCAATCATTATTTCCTGAAAGTTTAGTTAAAATCTGTCTAGCAGTTTATGAAATATTTTGCTAACAGACAAAAAAAGTTGACTCTGAATAATTAATGGTGAAACGTTCAGCAAAAATGCTGAGCCACGAATTAGCACTCAGAATATGTGACGGGGATGACTCTCAGCCACTACCACAAGATTGAGCTCAAAATCTGTAAAATGAACTTACAGGATTTTTTTTGGTCATTTTTAGGATCAGACATCTTAAATTGAACACAGTACTTTTTGCAAGCTTAAAATCTATCCAGTGATTCATGAGATATTTTGCTAACAGACAGACGCATGCTGCAGATACAGGCGATGATAAAAATGAGGTGAGGCTGATAATCTATGAGTCGTCTTACCGGCCTCCCAGGCAGCCCCTGTGGTCCCTGAGGCAAAAGAAGTAGAAAAAAAATTAAATTAAAGACAAATGACAGTTCTTACTTTTATATTAAAGCTCTGAGAGTGAACTACACTCACCTCAACACCATCACGGCCGAGTAAACCCTGAGGAGGACACACAGGAAACTTCATTAACGGGACATGCTTCAGAATATTCACTACATCTTTTTGACCACTAGATGTCGCGGTTTAATAAGAAACATGTATAGACCCGAAGAAACCCAAGACTTGTGGTTTCTTTAATAAGAGTTCATTATGAGCAGATGGGTGATAAATTTAAAGCAAACACTGATTGTCTGAGTATAAATACACAACAACTGTCTGTACTTTCACACAGACAGCAGCTCCTAATGACTCGATGAGAGTATTTATACTTTGCTTCCGAACAGCCAGACTTTAACGTATTTTTTTTAAGTGATTTTGATCTTCAGACTTTCTGAAGGTCTTTGAACCTCAATATTCAGCCCCGTCCTTGCACCTGACCATATTGTTGTACAGACTTAAGAGCTGAGGGAAGTGGGGAAGTGGAGGACAAAAGAAGAAGTGTCTAAAAAAACAGCAGAAAAAAACCTAGTAAAGACCTGAGAGATGCGTCATCCTTCACTTCGTATAGTTTTCAGCTAAAAATTAATTAAGAATCACTCCATTGGAGCTAAAATACTACGGTACTTTATATGTTGGTAATTTTTTTTTGTATTTTTCACAAATTCAACAAAAAACTGGGAACATTTGGTGTTTCTACAACAGGTTGATCGTAACAATGTGTCTACAAACTCTGTTTAAGTTCCTCTGAAAACATTTGGACTGGAAAAGGCAGCCAAAGACATTCGAAAGGAGAAATGAACGTTGAGTGAGGATGACTGAACAATATAAGAAAGTCTGACTGATTGGGAGCAAAACACTCAGAAAGTAGGGATGGATGAAAACTTTTGCACAGCGCCACACTACGGCCTTTGGGGTCAAGAGGTTTTGAAGACGAGAGCTAGAAGTGACATTTATCACATTAAACACGAACACTTTTAACAAGAAAAACCCATTAAAAAAGACATAAAGGCTTTTAAAGTGGATATTCATGAGATATTCCCATATTTTTATGGGATATTTGCTGCAATACCTCCCTGTACAATAAAAAAAACTTTATTTTCCCGACATTTCATACATTTTCTGTCATTTTCTGACTGAAAAGTGTCGTTTTATCTCCCAATCACATTAAAGTTCTCACTGATGGATCAGAAAAAGGAGAAAACGTCTCAGCTGCTCACGCAGTTTGACATACTACCCATTTGGCAGGATTTGGTCCTAAAGAGACATTTCTGAAAGTTTTGTTTCATATCTTCATTTTTTTAGCAACAGAAATTAAATAAAAAGGAAACCCCGTTGTAAAGAAGTTGTAAGTGATGAACAAGTCCCAGCTCCAAACAACTTCAAATGCAAACGGTATTTCCCGTCTCGCTCCGTCGGCTGATCAAAGATTTGGCTCGTTTGGGTAAACAGAGGTGTCGGCTGTTTGCGGGGGCCAAGTGGACGTGTGTTTGAAGCAGCTAAATACGAGCTATGAGGTCACCCACAGCAGACTCGCAGCAGTAGTGTTTCCTCCATCTCTCAGTACACGTTGGAGGCTACCTTCCTTTCATTTCTCATGTTTACAACAATGTGCAGGAGCAGAAGAAATGTTTCCCAGCTGGTCCTATCATCCTTAGATGTCCCCCCCCCCCCCCCTTCTTCTCCTCCCTCTCACCTGTTCGAGCTGCCATTCACAGCAGTGGGAAACAAATCAGCCTTGCTAATAATTCGTAGCCCCGCTTTGAGTTAAAGAGACATCAGATGTCGGATGCATCAAAAAATACTGCTATAATGTACTCGTAAGGGGTTCTGTGGAAAGGTTAGGAACAAACAATATCTTACCTGTGTTCTTTGAATGAGCTCAGGTTTGCGAAGTTAGCGTTTAATTCAGAGCCATCGAGGAGCTAAAATGGCAACAGGTGGGTCTGATATGATTATTAATGGACTGTACTCCAGTTCTGTTCATTTTGTACCCAGACTCTTCAGACTGTAGTGAACCAGATGACCTCAAATCTACCAGATGGACAGAGACTGTTATTTTCATTGATCTGAATAAGTCTGGGCCATCTGATGAACTTTCTTTCTTGAATTAATCAAGCAGAAAAGACAATTCTTTATAATCATTACTGTCTTACAAATGTTTTGATAATCAAATTGTGTTAGTTCACTCAATGCTTATAGGTTGAAAAGAACTACTCATCTTTATTTTACATAAACAGTAAGTAATGATTTTTATTCCTCATTCCAAGAAGAAATCACCTGAATAAGCATCCCTTGATTTTCTGTCTGAAATGAGTCAAGTCGTAAGTATGTGAAAGGTTGGTTTTCGGTCAACTAAAATGTTTACCGAGAAAAATGTCATGTTTAAACTTTTTCAGAAGATTACCAAGAGTTGACTCCACGAAGTCTGCTGTTGCTGCAATAATCTTTTCTGTATGTGAAAACAAATTTCATTCTCTGACCTCGACTGTTGATAAACACCTTACGTCAAAACCACTCCTCTTTCTGGTACATCCACGAATCAGAAAGCTCTAAATTGAACAGGAAGTCGACCCAAATAAAATGTGGCAACTTCTCAGTTCATGTTAGATTGAGAGTTCTGGAGAACGTGAGAGTTCCAAGATTGAGAGTGCAGTCGGTTCTGAAAGCTTCAGAGCAATGAAGAATCCAGAGGTTTTTTTTGGGGATTATAATTCTGTTTTGAGCTAACCACGCACGACTCTCTGAAGGTTTGGTAGCTCTCGACGGAGACGCTGAAACGAGTCAGAAAGGAACTACTCCAAGGCTGATTCATCATCAACAGGTAGATGGTTCTATTTTGACCAAGTGTACCGTGAGAAGCTGAGATCGGACGGAGCGTGCAACTTCTGGTCAAACAGATTAAATTCCCTCACATATTTCCTCTGTAAGATAAATCTCAATTTAATCTTAAACTCTTCTCTCTCATAAATCAGTACAGATATTTTTAGGAATGTCTGAAGCAAAGTCCTCAAATCACCGCCGAGTGATTTGAAGTTCATTTTCTGTGAAACTGTCTGTTATTATTTTCATATTTTGCCAAATTAATGTAAATGTTTGATGTTAAACTTTGATTCTGAAAATAAATGATTCCATTCATTTGATGGGTCAAAGATAAATAACGTCTCTCGTTACATTTTGTGTTAAATTCAATGCACGGCATTTACAGTCAGAAAAATGAAGAACTCGTGAAAAGTATGCATAAATATATATCCATATATTTGTCATACAACAAGTGACACGTACCTCACGTGACTCACTACAAGACTTCCTAACCACCTGATAGGGCTGGGCGATATCTCGATATTTTAAAAATATCGAGATAATTTCATTTGCGATATAAGATTAAAAAAATATGTATATATAAACGATATACTTGAAAATCCGCCTGCTGTCTTCTCTTTCTCTCTTGCGGCCCCTCCTCTACCTCACTGAATACAAACACACAGCCCATCACCCCCCCCCCCCCCCCCATTCTCCAGGTGGGACGTAGCATTCGCAGAGCAGCTTGTGAGCAGGGCAAAAAATAATGGTTCTGTTATTTGGACATGGTTCAGATCTAATTTGTCAGATGAGCAGCGGAAAAATGTTTTCTGTAGACAATGCCGAAAACAAGTCCCGACGAAAGGTTCGAGCACAACGAACCTTTTCATCATTTAAAACAGCGCTGCAAGTGGAGAGTGTGTTAGTAAAACAGCAGCTTTGATCGTTAGACACGCTCCCAGTCTCAGCTGTGGAACAAGATGGCTAAAGTTGACTGTCTTGTTAGCCGCTAAGGACCGTGTCTTTAGCGATATGATTAGCCACCGCTTTATTAACGTTGCGCCACCCCTCACTGTAAGACGTGAAAATCTGTACAGTAGTTCTCCTTTTTCTGCCCGTCCAACTTCATGCAGACCCTCCTTCTCCCTCGCTGAACACTAGCAGCCCCTCACTGCTTTTCACACACGCTGCTTCACGTCGTGAAGGCGGCGCAGCTACAGTTAATAAATGTGCCTGTGTGACAGCAGGGACAAAGCTTTGACTGAGAAATATATTTTTGTTACTTTATGAAAAGAAAAAAATATCGAGATATATATCGTATATCGTGATTTATCGTAAAAATATTGAAATATTAATTTTGGTCCATATTGTCCAGCCCTACCACCTGCCATGATTCGCTTCGTACCCAAAAACAAAGCAACGAGACGCTTTTAGAGTGGGGGGTCTCCACAGAGAGTCATCTTCCTCCATGTCTTCACTCCAACTACCTCCATGTCTTCTCTAACTACATCCATGTAGCTCCTCTGTCTTTTTCCTGGCAGCTGCATTTCTAACATCCTTCTACCAGTATACCCACTGTCCCTCCTCTGGACATGTCCAAACCATCTCAGTTTGGTCTCTCTAACTTTATCTCCCAGTTGTTCAACCTGTGCTGTACCTCTGATGATCTCATTCCTGATCTTATCCATCCTTGTCACACCTGAGGAGAACCTCAACATCTTCATTTCTGCCACGTCCAGTTCTTTCTCTTGTCTTTTTTGTCCATGTCTCTGTCTCCAGACCATACAACATGGCTGGTCTCACCACTCTCTTGCAAACGTTTTCTTTGACCTTCGCTGCCCTTTTGTCACCAGTCACTCCTGAAGTTTTCTCCACCCTGCCGTGGTTCATCATTTCCGTCTTTTCAGTTCACAGATAGGAACATGACGTGTCTGAGGATGCCCACCCTGGTCGGCTTTATTCACTTTCTCCTGCTCTGTCTGCTCAGACATCTGCCCACAACATGGAGCAGCTCTCAGCGCCACTTTGTTTGGCTGCTTTGGGTTTCTGCAGCGCCTTTAATCAACTCGAAGAGCACTTTTCGTAATCGGCAGCGTTACAAGATGGCCCTCTTTTCCTTCTGCCCGTCTGGTTTTTGTCACTTTCTGAGCCGGCCTGGTCTCTTCTCTGTTGCTGCTTCAGCACATGTTCTCAAGTCAACCACGTCAAAACCAACATTTTTCACACGGATCCCTTGTTGTCCAGTTCCAGATGAGAGCTCTGCGGCGATTATTCTTTCATGAGGATAAACAAAAAATAAACATTTTTTCCCTCTTCTTCGAGCAAAGAACCGCAGATTGATGCTGGAGAAATTTAATTCTGAGCAGCAGAAACGGCCCCAGGCGAGGAGGACACTATTGTTTGCTGATGCCGGCAAACTGCCCATGAACTCACCGCAGTGTCGTATCTGTTTCAGCGAGCACGACTTCACAGTTGTGATTGGGGGGGGGGGGGGGGGGGGAGGGATGGATCGGGGGGAGTTCTGGGGAACTTTGTGGCCACTGACTTACACAAAACAGATGAGGCTTGAAGCAAAGTTGCTATTTTGGGAAGTTTTTTTGCTTCTTTTTAGGTAAGCCAGAGCTCAAAGGCAAGAATGAGTGCACAGGGACCATTTTCTGTGAAGACACCCCCCCCCCCCCCACCTGTCTTCAGGTGAGGTTCACTGCAGATCCACAACGAGCCCAGACTTGGTGGTAAAACACGAGTTTTATGGCGTCAAACGAGCGATGCTCTTACCGGCTCTCCAGTGGGACCACGAGGCCCATCCTTGCCGGTGTTCCCGGGGGGTCCGCGGGGCCCAGGTGGACCAGGAGGACCGGGAGGACCAGAAGGTCCAGCTTGACCCTGATCACCCTGATGAAAGGAATAAAAAAAGAAGGACAATTGTGTGACAGAAAAATCCATCCATGTTAGTTTTGTTTCAGTTTGTGTGGGAGAGAAGCAACAGTTTATTGGTGTTTGGACAGTGATGGCAGCAGAAACTGGTTTTACGCTTTAAAAATGATACGACAACCACCTGAGTCTGAAACTTCTTCACTTTTTAATCTTTTAGCCTAATTTAGCTTGATAAAGTATGAACCCCTTTTTTTTTTTTTTAAGTCTCTTCAAAGAGAACACAAATAAATGTCTCTGGAAATCAAACGTGAGAGGGACTTGGGCTATTAGAAAACAACTTATTTAAAAAAAAAAAAATGAATAAAACAATTTTTTAAAAATCATATTCAATCAGAACAGTGAGTCTGAAAAAAGAAAATGAAAAATCAGCTGCTCAGTTTTTATTTTAAAAGTTAATTTAAGAAAAACCTTTGTTGTTGTGTAAACTAGACGCTGTTTGGGGGCTTTGATGCGACATGACTTCTTCTAAAACAACGATTTATAAGCTCATTTAATTTTATTAGAATTGCTTAATTTCAGCAGCATAATCTCCTGTTTATAAAAGACAGAAAAAAACTCAAGATGTGACTTTAAACAGCAGCCGACCAGGAAAGACACTGCCCTGCAGCATCTCTTCATCTGCTGAGTCAGATTAATATTTAGTCATTTAAAGGAACACTCATGCAAAAAACAACAACAACAAAAAACTTAATTTCTTCTGTTTCTCATTGAAAAAACAAAACAAACCCCAAAATCCTTCAATTGATGACTTTGTTTTCTATTTTCTACATTTATTACAAATTTAATCTTTTCCAGGTGAGACACCTTCATCTTTTTGTTATCTGGGAACCGTTAATGTCCTAAAAGGCCTCAACATGTGGATTTATTAGATATTACAATTATTATCATTATTATTATTATTATTATTATTATTGGCGAACATTAGTAATTGACTTTTTTATGTACTGTATGTGACTGTTTCTGTTCAGTGCCTTAAGATGACGTCTGTTGTGACTTTGTATATAAATAAACTGAACTGAATTATTAAACTTTGATTTTTGTTGGGTCAAATGAAGTATGACCAAAATACAATATTACACTAAAGCAAAATTAGCTAATAAACAAGACTGCTGGCAAGGACTAATAAGAACCATTGGTTCATTTTATATTGAACTGTCAACACCAAATTACACATTTTCATTATTTTTTCTGGAAAATGAGGCACTGTAGTAGAAACAACCCAAACTAAAATATATTTTCCATATATGTGGCATGCTTTAGAAACTTTAAAACAAATACCTTTAGTTAATTAGCTAGGGTAACACAATGCTGTCCATCTTAAATTATGTTAACAAACATGATTTTGTTTTAATAAAGAAGCAAAAAGCAGAACGACGACGTGCTAAAGAAAGGTGGGTTAAAGTGTTAAAAAGAACGCACATGCCTTTTAGTTCAGGTCTACCTTCAGAAAGCGTCTCTGAAAGCTGCTGGACTGCTCTCCAGACAGAAAGCTGTGGTCGTACCGCGGGAAAACCATCTAAGATGCAACAGATGGAGCAAGAACAGAAAAAAACAAACAGAATAAACAGAATACAGGAGAAGAGCGTTAGGAGAAAAGAAGGATGAAGAGGTGATGAAAAGCGTAGGAACAAGAGAAGGAGATAAATGAGTAGAAAAAATCAGACATCCGTGTTAAACTAAAAGTCCAGAGGTGGAGGAAAATGAGCACTGCAGGAGAAAAGAGAATCAAAGATTCATCAGAAAAAGAGAGCGGGGCGTTTAATCGTCTTTGTGCAGGGACAGTGACAGAGCTGCAGCCTGAAGGAGGACGAGGACGGTTTCTGTGGGAAGACAAACCTTGACAGCGAGAATCTGATTACTGTGCAGACCTGCGTATGGGCTGTAGTTAGGAGGACCCTGAAGACAGGAAGGAAACAGTGAATGAAAACCACAAACCAGTCGAGTGAATACGATCACTGACAGCAACGTTAAGGCCCCCAGAACAAACGGTCCAGTTTGGATGTAACTGGTTCTCGTACAGACCAGTGATGGGTGTAAAGGATGTGACTTCATGTTTAGAACATGCGTCAGAGGGTCATGGAGTGGTAGTGTTATCAGGCAGTTGCCAGTGTCCAACAGTCAGTGAAGCTCATTGGACAAAGTTAAGTCAGGTCAGAACGGTTTCTTTTTTTGTTGAAACGTTTCATCCTTCATCCAAAGGACTTCATCAGTCCGAGGAACCACAATAAACTGAGTCCCATAAGTGGCTTAGTGAGCCAACAAGTTTTATGGTGAAAAGATGGTTTCTGGAGTCCGCCCTCTCCCCCGTCGACTCCTCTGACACTTAACTTTGTTGGATTTTTTTAACCTGGATTATCGAGCATGAACTTTGATGTTTTGAATCCCTTTGGCCATGGCTGCCTCAGAGGAGTCGGCGGGGGAGAGGGCAGACTCCAGAAACCATCTTATCTCCATAGAACTGGTTGGCCCACTATAGAGTAAGCCACTTATGGGACTGACTTTGTTGTGGCTCCTCGGACTGACGAAGTCCTTTGGATGAAAGACGAAACGTCTCAACAAAAAAAGAAACCGTCCAGAGGAGCTGACTGTGCTTTGTTGGATTTTTTTACCTGGATTATTGAGCATGAATCTTGATGTTTGATCTCATCGGACACAGCTGATGTCTCGTAGATAGAGTTACGAACACTTTGGCAGCGGTGACAGGTTTTTATTAGAGCAGGTGGGCTCATTATGAAACCTGCGTACAGATGTGTCAGACACCATGTTGGAACCGTTGCAAAGGTTCCCGTGTCTCAAGGCGGATCACACAAAGCGGGACGGTTGCACTGGCTCTTTACAACATGCTGTGCAACTCTGCACTTTGTCTCTGAGCTGCCTGTCTGCTGAGACAGCCCATCATTACTTCTGGGATCAGATGTCAACTCCAACTCTCTGACTGAGAAGTGGACCTCGAGGACAAGTCACAACCACCGTGGACACATCTTGACTTTGGTCTGCACTGAATCACCACTTGTATCCAGGTCCAAGTGGGGACCATACCTACTGACACGGGGCCGCTTTGTCTGGGGACGTAACCCTTTGTTTGGGTCAGTGAGTGTTTCTCTATGATTCACACGTATTACATATTTATATAAAGGGAAAAACAGTAAAAACATGGAAACTGCCACCTTTGCCATTTTGAAAATTAATATCTTGGTGTCTAACTCAAACCTATGTTTAATTGTGTATCTGTGTGCATACTCCGTTCTCTCCCATCCTTTCCAAACCAAACACAAGTGGCTTGGCGTTCTCTCCCGTCAACAGTCACTGTATGGATTGTCCGTCGAGCTGAAAGGAGCGGCGTTTTTCTGCCGCTGCGGACCACTGAGCGCCGCGTGGCCTCTCTGGCCGAGCTCCCGCAAAAACACGTGGAAAAGTGGGAGAGGGACGGAGAGATGGGGCAGAGAAGCTCTCAGGAGTTGTGGCGACGGGGAGGAGAACGGCGGGTGAGAAAGAAGAAAAGTCTGCTCGAGAGGTTTCTGTTAACAGGCTGCGGTGAGCGCTGGACAGCTGAGGTTTTTCTGACCACAGACACCTCCCTCTTTCCCCCTCTTTGTGCCTGTATACACCCCCCTCCCCCCCGTCACATTCACCCATTCACACTGCTCCCACAGTGAAGACCACATATGGTCCTTAAACATCCCAGAAGTGAAGAGGCTGTTTCACAGCGGGCATCGCCCTTACCTCATTCTCCTCAGACCTCTGGTTCGAACTAAGAAAAACAACAATTTCCCCTCCTGAACCCCGTCTCAAGATGTTTTTCTTTTCTTTTTGTCATCCTCTGGAGGCAGTTTGGCTGAGTTGACCTCAAATAGTTAACCACAAAGTTTTAAACCAACACCTGGCGTGAGCTAGAAGCACTCAGAGTCTGTGTTGGAGATGACTTTGGGCTACTACCGCTCCAGTTTTTAACTCAGTGACTGAACAAACACTCAGATAAAAGACAGCGCCCCCGTCTGGACGATCATCAGTTTTATTTAGATAACGATTCTTCAAAAATAAGTAGCCAAACAGGCTTCGTGTCACTATTTTATTGGTGGTTCTGAAGCATCTGAATTTGTTTCAACACCCCTCCTGTGTTTGAGGCTGTCCCTGGGACCAGACAGGGGCCGATGAAGAAACTGAAGGTGATGAATCGACAGGAAGTCCCAGGTTGAAGGAGATTCATGGCTGCGTCCTGTTTTCACTCGTGTTCTCGTATCCGCCAAGAGTTCAGAGGTGAACCAGAGCACGACGTTGAAAAAAGGCCAAAGAGATAATCGAGCTCCTGCTGGAACGATCCTCCTGCAGTTTTTAATAGTTTTTCAGCTGCCGGCCTTTGTGGGCTGATATGGAAACCCTCATGAAGTCATCATCCTCGGCCGCAGCATCTTCAAGCGCTGAAGGTTTGTTTTGAACCGAGCGCGTGTTTCCAAGGAATATTCTGAGGGTTTTCTGTGGAGCCGCACGCTCAATCCAAGAAAATCAAAGCCATAAAGCCAAGTGATATATTTATCTCTTGGTGAGAACGGGTGACGCAAAATGTCAGAAAAACAATAGTTTTCACACAAATTGTTGCTTCAAGATCTAAAAGTCTCGACAGGAATCAGGGATTCCTGTGAGGCTTTCAAGCCGCGTCGTAAATGTCGTTCCACTTTGCAGCTCTGTCAAATTCACACTCCGTTTGTGACCTCTACGAAACAAAAAGAGTCGCTCGTTGTCATTCCAGCACGCCATCTCGTTCTGCCGTGTCGATGCTTTAAGGTTAAATATCTTAACGCCCACACATTTAATAAATAACTGTGTTTGATAGCAAAGTGTCTCATGAACCACCGGTCAGGTTTTAATGAAACACTCAGAAAGTTATCATTGGTACACAATAATTCAAGATGGAAGACGCCACAGCTTATCAACATAGCGTACATGTCCACGCGTACATCACCTTGGACGCTGCTGGTCTGCAGGGCTGGTGAGTAAAATTTTACAGTACTGCACAGTACATATACGTATATTGTTAAAATTACATAGGTTTAAGAGTTTAGATTATTGCAAGTGTGAGAAGGGTTTATAAAGCCTTAAAATATTTATTAATGCTAAAATAAATATAGCGTTATTACCAAAGTTCATGCTCAATAATCCAGGTATAAAATCGAACAATGTTCAGTCAGGTCATCTGGGCGGTGTCTTTTTTTTTTCCTGAGATGTTTTGTCCTTCATCCAAAGCACTTCTTCAATCTGAGAAGCCACCCAACAAAACTGATTCCCACAAACAGCTCTTTACATCGTCGGAAAAACAGTTTGTTGCTGTTTGTGGAAATCAGTTTTGTTTGGTGGCTTCTCAGAGTGACGAAGTCCTTTGGATGAAGGACAAAACGTCTCAGCAAAAAAAACAAAAAAAAAAAACAGTCCAGATGAGCTGACTGAAGATTGTTGGATAGTGTTACTACTTTGTGGTTTTTCACCAATCGTGGGGGTGTGTGGAACATAACCCCCACGATAATCGAGGGACTACTGTGCTCCGCTCTACGGTGGCTGGACGTTCATGTGAAGCACTGGGAGATGAGCACCAACATGACGACCAGTGTTTCACAAGTTCAGGTAAGCAACGACTTTGGGCGTGACATGCACTGCGGCGGGAGCGGTTATCCAGGAGCTCGGTGCCGTGTGTCTCATGGACTATAAATGTTGCGTGCGAATGAGAATACCTGGCAACCACGTGACCGCGAGCCGACCGCTCGGCTTCTGACGTGGTATAAAGCAGCTTTTACCATATCCAGCTGGTTCTCCATCTGCTCATAGAGCAACAACCTAAATGATAATATGAGCTCTGAGTACCAGCTTACTTACTTAGTACACGCTTGTGTTCATATCTGACATAAAAAAGCAAACGGCTGTAAGTTTAAATGCCCAACTTTAGATTTAATTAAAGGTGCAGTTTGAGATGTGACACCACACACCCCGTGGTCTGGCCGCCTCCTCTGCACCACAGCAGCTAAAGACAAATTGGAGACAACTTGAATCAAGTTTTGGCGTCTTTTGTCACGAGCAGGTCCTGCAGAGACGTCTCTGCTGCTGTTTAAGTAGCAGCCTGCACACCAGTTTACTTTAAGTCAGTTCTATTTCAACACATTTTGTTTTATTCTCCATTGAACTTTCATTTGAAGTTGTTTCCAGTTGAAGTCTAGGTTTGATTGAAGCTGTCATCTATTTGGCTGTTTGGGTGTTTTATCACAGAACACGTTCTATTTCTATTCTGCTACTCAGCCTGAACATACTGTAACTGATACCAGCATTACAGGGATCCACCACTCGTATTTGTATCATAATTTCAGGAACATGAGTTCCTGTTCATATGTACGTCCATGTTCATAGGAACATACGACAAACAGTTTTGCACTTTGTATTGAGGAAGAATCAGGAAAAACAACAAATTTGGTTCACCTTTTAAAAACATGTCGCTATGAAAACTGCTCGTTAGATTTCTGTAAACGAGACATGAACATAACTAAAAGTTTTGTTTTAAATATCTAATTGCCGTTTTCTAATTTGGTCATCTTTTGTATAAAGGGGAATGTGTACAGATGGAATTTAATCATCTCTAAAATGATTTAGTTTTTTTTAAGCTTTTGGTTTATGGGAACTTCATAAAATAGCTAAATAATAATAATAATTTCTTTCATATTACTGTAAGCGAATAAAAGTACAGTTTGAACCACAAATTTTACCCCAGAATTGTTTTTGTGAAAAGGCCTGACCCGATATTCTAAAACTTGAAGAACTTGTGGGCTACGTGAGTTTTTTTTTATAGAACTCAAAGCATGAAAACACACAGGGGGCGCATTTTCAAACCACACTGAATGAAGCTGAAAATAATTACACAGGTCTCATGAACGGATGATGTCACATTCAAACAAAGCACCAGACGTAGACAGAAGGTTTATTTTTTTTTAAAATGGAAATGTTATTAAAAACTTTGCTGAGGCTAGACAGCAGCAGCGGCGGCAGAGTTTAGATGGTGAGGTTTAAGTGGGTCTTCTCTGGTCTCTGGCTTCAGACAGATGAAACCTCCTCCCAGGAGCAGGACTGTCACAGCGTTCTGACTGAAGTATCCAGAGTTTGAAGACGTGTTGAAGGTTGGAAGGAGACAGAGTTGTGATGAGATTTCTCTTCATTTACGCTGCACATTGCTCCACCGATGGGAAAACTGAGAACTGATGATGTTGTTTATTAGATGGAGGGAAAAAAGAAGGACATTTATTCCTTTTAGATTTTAATTTCCAATCACCGATAGTCTGCCTCTACATTTTCTAAACACTTTACATTCAGGTATCATCCATCCATCCATCCATCCATTCTAATCCCATCCATCCATCCAGCCAGCCATCCATCCATCCATCCATCCATCCAT